ATTTATTCACAAGGAATGGGTAAACTAATTGAAACACTCTAATGTGTTCTAATTTGAATATGTTTATTCTTCTCATGGTGTTTATTCACAAGGAATGGGGTAAACTAATTGAATTAGTCTAATTTGTTTTAATTTCAATCTGTTTATCCTTCTCTCGATGTTTATTCACAAGGAATGGGGTATTATTGGATATTTTTCGTTCATTCAATTATGCATACACATATGTTTTGGTGATGCATTATTTTTTATATATCATTGTGTTCTTAATATAGTCGTGTCTTTCTATTATGAATGTATATTTTGAACTATGGTGTTTCTTTTACAATAAGTCATAGACACTATAGTATTTCCATTGTTTTTGAATAATTTTCTTCTTTTTTTTTAGTAAATCATGTTTATTGAGGGTGAAAATCAAGATATGAAAATAGTTCATTCAATTGCGCATATACATTTGTTTTGGCGCTGTATTTTTTTATATATTATTGTGTTCTTAATATGATCATCTTTTTTATTATAAATTATATTTCGAGCTATCGTGTTTCCTTTACAATAGGTCATAGAAACTACAATATTTCAATTTTTTTTGAACAATTTGCTATTCTTTTTTTAGTAAATAATGTTTGTTGAGGTTGAAAATCAAGATATAGAAACAGTAGAGATGCCATTGTCACCCCATAGTACATCATATCATAAACGTAAAATTACTTTAGTTTGGAAATATTTTTTAAAGATGCAGAGGGTATTCTAAAAGCTACTTGTATACATTGTCAGAAGCAAGTAGCTTGGGCTAGTAAACATGTGACTAGCCATATGAAAAAAAAAAATCAAGACTTGTCCTAAAGGATTGTACCTAAGTGCACGTCTTCAAGTGTTAATAACTTCTTTTCAAATAGGGGAAAGGGGTTTGAGCAATTATAAATTTGATCAAGAGCAAAGTAGAAGTGATCTAACAAAAATTATCGTCTTACATAAGTACCCATTTTGTAGATAATATTGGTTTTTAGGATTTTTATAATAAATATTCAACCATTATTTAAGATGACCAATACCATAAAATCTGATATATTGGAAATGTACAAAAATGAAAAGAAGAAATTGCGCAAGGTTTTCGAGAAGATCCCTAGTTGCGTTAGCCTCAACATGGACACATGGTCATCATGTCGTAACCAAGATTATCTATGCTTAACTGCCAATTATATTAATGATGCATGGATTTTACAAAAAATAATCATTAGTTTTGTGTATGTGCCATCTCTTTATACCAGAAATGTTATTGTTAATGTTCTCATGGATTTACTTATGCAATGGAATATTGACCAAAAGTTGTTTAAGCATAACTTTAAACAATGCATCATACAATGACGTGACTGCATCATCTCTAGTTACTCAATTATCTCAAAAGCCCGCACTTATATTTGATGGCAAGGAATTCAATGTGCGTTATTGTGCCAATATTTTAAATCTTATTGTATAAGATAAAATAAGGGTAATACATGAGATAATTGACAAGATCTGAGATGCTATTAAGTTCATTAAGGCATCCCAAGGAAATAAGAAAAATCTGATGAGGGAATCAACTTCCTTAAGATTGAAAGCAAAAAAAAAAAAGTATTTGGTTGTGCCGAAATGTATTAGAAATTTTTTTAAAAAATAGTATCTCCATATCAGATAAATAAATTAGAGGACAACACAACTGGGGCCAAATTCGCCCTTAAGTTCATATCATGGAAACAAAAAAAGGATTTTCATATATACTGAGTAAGTGAAGAGTTTTAGGAACATTCAATTCCTGTTACAATTTACATTAGCCCACTAAGTGAGGTCGAACACCCTTGATATGGGTTTTAAGCTTAGACATTTACAGTTCTACAAGGAAAAATATACAGGCAAGTGGAAAATGTCAATACCATGGGCATATGGTGCTCGTATATCTAACTATGTACAGGGATACTATCTACAAATTTGCTCCTTCTCAAGTTGAGGCTTCATGTGAGTCAGGAATCAATAATTTTTGTCTCTCTTAATAATTTTTACACCACATAATAGAAGATGATGATATCATCTCTTGACCGCCGATGCAATGGGTATAGTCACTCTCTTGCCTCTCTCTCTATTACGCACAAAACTGAGAAGTAGATTTAAATAGATCTTCTGAAAATATACCTCTAAAATGATAAGGATGTGAATCGATGAAGCATTTCCAAATTGGTCCTCTCTCATGATTTGGTTTGAAAAGATAAGATCATATCCATGTTCAAATTTGAAAGCACATCCTGACAGCTTTAATGATAACTCTGTCATTGTTTAATCTTGATCTTCTTGAAGTCAAACCTGCAACTAACAATATTCATCACGATATTGTATGAGAAAATCAAAGAAAGTGGCTATTTCTTATCCGTCGTCGGTCAATCTGCAGAACAACACTGATATGTTTGAGTATTTTCACTGCCGCTTTTTGATGACAATTCCATTCACTATGAAATTTTGAGAGATGATGGAGGACTGAGCGATGAACACAACGGTTCAAACTTCATCTCAAATGAATCACAAATGAGAGTGATATAGTATGTCGAACTGAACCCATTTCTATTGTAGATTGTGACAACAAATATGAGGATTGCAGATGCAACCGCTATGACACACATCTCTACAAAATTTGGGCTCAAGATTCTCCATATCTAGATAGAAATCATCCATCGGTGATCAAACCTTGGCACAATTTTCATGGTTAATGTTGCAGAGCATGTTGTTTTCACATGAGAGAATGATTAAATGTTGCATTATATGGTTGATAGGGCATTGAGTCAGAATTCCAATGGTCCAAGTCCCATGAGAGAATCTTTATGAATTGAGAGAAATCCCAAATTTAGTGACCAGAGGTCATCTTGAATATATGAGCTTGGCTTAAATTGAGATGGTTTGATAGTCTTTTATCGCCGGTCATTAGCCAAGATACATATATTTAATCGACGATGAGTTCGTAGGTGTATCGTATCGTATTGAAACTCTTTCGATGTTGTGTGGAGAGGTATATTGTGGCATCATGGATATATGTCTCAGAGTATGTCTTGAATTGAGATGGTTTGAAACCTTTTTAAAATCAATTATTAGCCAAAATGTACATAGTTGATCTATAATGTGTTCGAAAGTGTATCGTACTGTATCCATACTCTTCCGATATTGTGTATAGAAGCGTATTGTGGCCTCGGGGATATATGCCTTAAAACTTGTCTAGAATTGAAATAGTTTCACACCGTTCACTATTATTGGTCGTTAGCCAAGATAAATGAGTTGACCGACAACCATGATTTTAAAGGCATATAGAAGCCTTCATATGACGAGTCCTAGGTGCATCATATTCCATTTATCATACAAGGAATATGCGTTGCAAATATTTTTAAGAATCAAATCCATTGGGTTTGCATAGTGACCTGTCATCTACCCTGATAAATAGATTTGACGTCTGTTCAATAGTTATCTTCATGCGTCACACCATTTGGCTTATATGCATATTCCTATAACTGTATTTAGTATTGTATCATGACTAAAAATATACCCTACAGTCTTGATATTCCAACTCGACGGAACTCAACAAACAAGATGCTAGAGGTCGTCGTAGAGCTAAAATAATCATTTTATCCCTTTATTCAATCGGAATCAATGTCTACTTTGGTTCCACTTGGGTTTAGGAGAGAGCTGTAATTATTTGAAAGTTTTTTAATAATGTTACAAATGTTTTTTCAGAGTCTAATTATCCAATTTCTAATCTCTATTTCGCAAAAGGAGGCATGGCAATGGACTTGGGACCCGACATACCGACCCTGGTCTAGGTATGGGTCCAAGAACTGAACCTGGCAGATCGGGTATGAGTCCAAATATTGGACACGGACAATATTCGTGTCGGGATCTGGGTCCATGTGGATCCGACCCAAATAATGTTGTTATATAAATAATATTTAATATATAATATTTTAATAATATTTAAATAACTATAACTATATATTTTTAGTTATAATATTTAGGTAATACATGTATATATTTAACATAACATTTTAATATATTTAAATTCATATATTTTTTATTTTTGGGTCCGGTCCAAGTCCAGGTCGTGAGATTCATTTGTGTTTGAGATAATGGTGTTTGAGCCCTATTGAGTATATTAGTTCTATAACCACCAAAATGGGAAAGAAGTTAGACAAATATTGGAGGACATGTAGTTAAACATTGACGATTGCATATGTTGTTGGTCATCGTTATAAACTTGCATTGGTTAAATACTACTATATATGGTGATGAGGCGACACAACAAATTGCGATGGTTCGACAATGGGTTTATGACCTATATAAGGAGTATGAATTAAATGAACCTTCCAGTTCCACCATTGGAAGTAATTTAGTAGTCTAGTTCCAAAATCAGGCGATCTAACTGGTAATCGTCTGTTCAAATGGGAATCAGCCCCTTGCCGATTCCCGTTTCGAACGGTTTTGGTGATAGATGGGTATTAAAAAAATAAAATAAAAATGTATATAAAATCTAAAAAATAAGGAATTTAGTTTGTAATATATATTTTAATATTATTTACATTATGGTAAATATTAAAAATTGTTTTGGTCATTAATACTCATTTTTATATTTTCATATTTTTTTCAATTTTTTTTTAAAAATACCTCTAGGTACAAATTTTTTTAACTTCATTTAAATATCTTTTATTTTAATCATTCTTTATATGTTTGTTTATATTTCATAAGATTTTCTTTTTTCTTTTTTACTTTTTCAACAATTTTTTGACCGTCCAACATTTACCCAGTTAGAATAGTTGAATCGGCCAGTTTATCGATTAGGCCGATTACCCATGTCCGATTAACCGTTCCGGTTTGATTTTGCGAAAGCTCAGGTTCACCATTCTCATGGGCGTTCGGGTTGACACGGAGCCACTTCCCACCGTGGAGTAGTATTTATTGTAAGTTTCACCACTTGTGCTGCGTCGCGCTCACACGCTCGCAAAACTTGAATCGCGTATTCGAAAAAAGAGATCGGGTAACAGGCGGGAAATTCAGTGTACCAGCGAGAGAGAGAGAGAGAGAGAGAGAGAGAGAGAGAGAGAGAGAGGTGTGTCCCATTAGACATTATATTGGGCTCAAAAGTCTCAAACCAGAGAGAATAAATTTCAGGAGAGAGAGTGAGCGTGAGGGAGATAGAAAGGTTTAGGGGAGAGAGTGCTTGAGAGAGAGAAAGAGAGGTTTAGGGGAGAGAGGGCGTGAGGGAGAGAGAAAGTCCAGAACTGGGACAATTGAACTTGGTAAGTGTCCTCTGTTGATCGCGCATTTCAGTTCAACTTCTATAAATTATTTGATTTTAATTTCTGTGTATAGATGTTTCCAGATCCATCGAGATTTTTGGGCAAACCATCCAAGTTTCATACTTAGGTGGCGATTATTCCCGTTACTTTGGGGGCTTTACGATGGAGATGCTTAGATTCCTTTGGTTCTTAAATGTTATTGCATTGATCATCTGATTTGTTTCTGAAAACCACTGGTTTTTTTGCCCTTTTGTACTTAAAATGGAATGTTATTGGTGCATTTTCTGCAATATTGATTGTCTATTTGTGCTCTTTGAATTAGTTCATGAGTTTTGTTTCGGGAAAAAAAAAATGAAGTTATGACCTGGTAGCTTTAGTTTTCTCAATGAATGGTACCATATCTAGTGATGTTTATAGCTTTTAGTACATAGTTTCTAATTATTTCATTTTTTGAGGCTATTTGCTTCTTTAATTGTTGGGACTAATAAATATCCCAATTCTCAAAATTTATTTCTTCTATTAAAACAAAAAAATTTGAGCTGGTGTTTAGGTTTATGAGGGCTTAATCCTTCCATTACAGTCTCAACTTGTCTCCTAATATGGAGAATGCTTGGATTGCCTAGTTGGTTGCTTTAAAATACACCCCTTTCTGTTATCAAAATTGAATCTATTGGAGTGCTTACTGTTCTGTTAATCCGGATGCATCAAACTGTTTGCCTCTGGATAACCTAGTTCTGCTTGTTATTTTCTGCTAAGAAATTATAGTTTTTATCCACGGCACTTTAGACATTCCTTCTCATTTGGCATTATGCATCAACATTACTTCCTTGACCTAAAGGAAATCCTTCCATGATCAATGGCCATGAATTGCTGTTATGTTAAATCATAGCTCTTCATTTTCCATTTGGCTTCTGGTATCAATGGAACAAGTCGATCATAACTGTGTAACCAGCATTGTTAACCTGATTTCATTTGAGATTTTGCCGTAAACTAAATTATATAGCTTTCATGGGTGCCAACTGACTGAACTGACTATAATGTAAAAAAGGAAAGGGAAAAACTACTTTGTTTAGTTATCTTTGAGCACAATTTTGAAAATTGATGCAACACATGTTGATGGATGCATGCTCATTCATACTTGTTGGATTGTCTTGGATTCTAATTTCTAAGATTCATTCTCTTGTTTTCTCAATACAGTTTTAGAATGGGTATAGAAAACTACCATGTCATAGAGCTAGTTGGGGAAGGTTCCTTTGGGAAGGTGTACAAAGGAAGGCGTAAATATACTGGACAGGTTAGGGTCGATTTTATCGTGCTTTTGTGCTGAAAACATGAAAGAATGTCTTGCTTTTCTTCTTCCCCTGCTTCCAATATTTTATTAACACTGTTGTTTTTATTTACAGACTGTTGCCATGAAGTTCATCCTTAAACATGGTAAAAGCGAGAAGGACATTCATAACTTAAGACAAGAAATTGAGGTATTCTTTGGAGACATTCATTTCTCTTTCTTTTTTTGGCTTTTCGTTATTTCAATTTCCGTGTATACATTTTTTTTATCTTCTTTATTAGTTGCAACTTGCATCACTTGTTCTTTCCTATTTATTCCACTTTTTCTAGTTTCTCTCTCTCTCTCTCCCCCTCTCTCTCGTTGCATGTGTGCCTCCCCAATGTCATGATAGATAATAGATTACCATCCATTTGGCACACAATTTTTTTGTCCCAAGATGCTGCATAACATGACCACTTGGGGCAAAGGCATATTGCAGTGATGGAAAATGTTTACCCAACTGGATAAGATTTCAAGCAAGGTTAAACTCTAAGAGCTTTTATCAATTTGTGGGCTTTTGGAATTTTCCTATACTAGGATGTAGGAACAGTTCAAGCTGTAGAATCAACAATATGAACAAATATTTGTTTTGTTAGAGTTTGGGAAGAGAGGAAAACAAAATAGTATATACTGACTTAGGCTTAAATGCAATTATGAGAAAATTGCAAGTTCCAAGACTAGCACAGTGGAGAATAGTTGATATACTCTATGGTTTCATTGTATAGAGGACTAGCCGAAGTGTGAATGGATAAATATATTGCTTCAAGTGATATATTGCTCTACATGATGATTCAGGAGAGAGTCGAGGAGGCAAGAGTGGGATTGCCATGAACCGGAAAGGAGTTCGGGACATCGTTTTAAAATGTGCCCACAAAAAACGTTATGCGCTGGGCAGTGCATCGCAATAGGGGGCATATGCGCTTTGGAGAGATGTGACTGCATATGCGTTGCATCTCTCCGCGTATGCGGCCGCATCCTGCATCCCGCATAATCCTGAAAAATCCCTCGGGCAAGGGTATTTTGGACATTTTGTGCCCCAAAAAAGGGGGGAAAGGGTTTTGGGGGGGTATTATACCCCCCAAACAACTAAAAACAATCAAATTAATCAAAAAAAAGGTGGTGGAAATTTTTTCTTGTGAAGTTATTAGATTTTCGTATTGTTTGATGATTGGTTGTTGATTTACTTCTTTTGGGTGTTGCTTTGAGGAAGTTTAGGCGAAGTTTAGAATGATGATACACATGGAGACTCTCAAGATAATGTCTCTGATTAGGATTTAAAATTTAGAATCTCAAGACTTGTGAGTTGAGAAATGATGATGATTTGTCTTGAGCTTGCTATTGAGCTCTTTAATCTTCATAGACTTTAGTTTGTATTTTGTAACCTTAAAGTTCGTGGTTGCAAATTTGTGATTCATCATCATCATAGCCTTTTCCCCATTAATTGGGGTCGGCTAAATTTGTGATTATGGTTGTTGAATCTTTTATGAAGCTAGTTTCAAGTTTCTAGTTTCAAATTTGTGATTATGGTTGTTGAAGATTTTACGAAGCTAGTTTCAAGTTTCTAGTTTCTTTCAAGAGATAGTTGATACAAAATCTTTTATAGACAACAACTGATACTTTTGGAGTTAATGAATAAACTAAATACCTACTATCACATAAATGACCTCCATATTTTTTATATGCACTAACCTATTTTTTTTTAGATTTTTTAGAATTTTTATATTTATTGACCGCATCGTAGCGATGCACCCGCATTTGGACCGCATCGAGCCGTATCACCGCATCAGGCCGCATCCTGCATTTTAAAACACTGATTTGGGACCATTGACCATGAATGCTTTTCCGCTTTGGCATTGCTCAACATGTTAGTAAGTCTGTTGACCCTGCCTGCCACAGTCCCTCTTTTCCTCCTTCCATGTGGTAGTAGCTCGATTGAAATGAGTTTTTTAAGTGTTTAACAAAGTAGAAACAAGAAATATCGGAAGCAAGGAGAGCCTCTTCAATGGGTAAGGAGGTAGTTTGGGTTCTATCTGATGTAGCTTGCCAAAAGTCTTAATTGCCTCATGCTGTATTTTAGGACTTCAATTCAAGTCTGAGCAGGCTTCCTTACCCTTGAAAAAATCATTTGTTGGGGTTTTTTGTGCCATCACCATGAATCAGAAGTTCAAAACTATTTGGCCTTTGATGAGTTTCCACACCATAATTTTGTATAAACGATTGCAAGTGCTCTGGCTTGGCATTTATGCGTACTTGTGGATATTTTTGTTACATAACAAATTAAAGAGTGAATCATCTGAAGAAAATGGACTGAAGTGCTTGTAAACTTTGATATGTGTATCTTTCAGCACAACATCTAAGTCTAGAGCATCTCTAATGTTTTTCGGCAGGTTCTACGAAAAAGTGGTGAAATGCATATAGTTATTGCAGGGTGAAGTACATCTAAATTTTCTTTGATGGTGCGAGAGGTATTTCTGGGTAAAATTTGTGTTTATCTTCTTGCTAAGATAGGATAAGTCCAGGGTTTTTTGAAGATAGCAAGAGGGGTGATCAATGGAAAATTGGGGAGAAGAGCATCCTTGGTTATTTATCAAATAGAAAAAGAAAACAAAAGCTTCAACTAAAGTTTTGAGTCGTTTATGATGTGGCATGATAGAGACGGTCCTCATTATAGATTTGATCTATCATTATTGGTGATCAATTGGGTGATAGTATTTTAGACATGAAACAATATGTGTATTTGTTAAATTTTTCCCAGGAAATCAGCTCAAATAATCATCAAATGTCTGAGGTCATTTATGAAATCCTAAAACAACCCAAACAGGAAAACTCTAATGCAAAGAGCAGGGTTACCTTCAGCAAAGCGTAACGATAAATTGGCAAAGAGGGGCCCTATGGAGAAATCATCTGATATGTTTAGAATTGGTCTTATATCTGTAATGTCAATATTTGCCGACTCCAATTAATTGGGAAAAGGCTAAAATGATGATGATGATGATCTGTAATGGCAATATTTACTGGATGACAGTTGGTGGCAGGTTATATAGAAAAAAGGTTATCAGATCTGTAATCTCCCAATGTCAAATGAAAAAATTGATCACTTAATCCCCATGATGTGCTATGACACCATGATATGATTAAAATGCTTTTGAGAAGGAACAATAAAAGATGATGAAATGACTAAGTACCCTCTGTGCAATTACCATGGAAATGTAACAGAATGTCTGTGAGTGCTGTCCTTTTGTAGGTGCTGGTTTCTGGTGGAGCCTTTGGGTTTTTACATTGGCTTATTCAGTTTGTATTTTTGATTGCACCTTACATATCAACTGTCAGTTTGTCATCTACTTTTGCTTGTCACAGTTGACAGATTTGCAGGTTTTGATGGTCCTTTGTTACACTTTGCAGGGTTTCCATCACAGTAACATCATGTTGCTATTGATGATTCTTTTCTTCTTGTATGTCTTTTTGTATCTTCAGTATCTACTTATTTACTGACAGCCACATTGTCGTGGATCGGGCTCCGTTCTCAAATTCTCCATTTTCAGATTTTAAGAAAGCTGAAGCATGAAAACATAATCGAAATGCTTGATGCATTTGAAAGCCCCCAAGAATTTTGTGTAGTGACAGAATTTGCACAGGTATTTATCTTTCTAGGTGACATTTTACTTGAAAAGTTTTAGATATATTTTATTGCCAGATGAATACATGAAGACATAAGTTATGAATTCCTGTACCCAGGGTGAATTGTTCGAAATTCTGGAAGATGACAAATGTCTCCCTGAAGAACAGGTCCAAGCAATAGCCAAACAATTGGTAAGTCAGTCCTTCGGTCATCCCTTCATGAGTATCATATGTAATTAAGTTTTATGAACTACATGGTTGTTCCTGTATCTAGTTCCAGGGGTATACATTAGTATCATCTCTGTGTTAGGAATGATAATTGTAATATGAACTACGTGGTTGCTTGAAATGTTAGGTAAGAGCACTGTATTACCTGCACTCTAATCGCATTATCCATCGTGACATGAAGCCTCAAAATATCCTCATTGGAGCCGGATCAATTGTTAAGGTAATATTTTTGAGCTCTGGTAGCATCTCAGCACTTGAAAAGTTGTTGGCTTGTGTTCAAACTTTTTCTTGTTTTTCCAGCATGTGTATTGTGATGATGTTCTTATTTCTAACCATTCTTGCATGAGTGCCACATGTTGTTTTATGCTTATTAAATTCGAAACAAATGTGTATTGTGATGATGTTCTTATTTCTAACCATTCTTGCCTGAGTGCCACGTGCTATTTTATGCTTATTAAATTGGAAACAAATGTTATAATGATCAGATCAGTCATTGAACCAACAAGGTTATAGTCCAATCCAAATTGTTGTGAACAGTAAACCCGACCAAAATAACAATAAAAATCCATTTCTATGAAAAACAAAAAATTATTAGGATTTGGGCATTGACTCAATTGGTTATGGTGTTGATGATTGCAACCTGATGTGCAAGGTTCGAATCCCATGCCGACTCATGCATGGCACAAATGATTTTTAGATGTTTGATATATTAGTGTAATTGTACATTTAATGATTTACCAAAGTTATAAACATAAAGGATTTTACATGTTTGATAATTAGTTTCGAGCTACATTTAGAAACTTACTAAAATCATAAACATACTTAAGTGTACATGAACATATAACCCTCGGACTAAAGGAATTGGTAATAAGAGTTACTGTTAGTTGTTTAGCTCCTCCTATGTCTTTGAAGTGCAAGTCATCTTGATGGGCCTCACGCATTGCTTCTAAACTCACCACTTCATCTGTAAATGTCCTCACCAAGTAAACAAACTAATGAAGGGCATAAGCCACCTTAGTAGGTTCTCCGTACTAATGCCTTATTATGAATGTAAATTCTTGCAAATAAGGCTCCCACTTGGCATGTGTTGCACTAAGCTTCTTTTGATTGTTAATGTGTACAAGTGCATCATGGTCCATGTAACGAATAATCTCTCGTTTAATCAAGTAATGTCGCAGCGACAAAGTGCTTGAATAACCACATAAAACGCAATGTCATAGGTCGAGTATCGCTGCCTATCATCAGTATCTCATTGAAAAATGCAAGGGGCCTTTGCTTTTGACTTGATACAGCTCCAATCTCAACATGAGAGGCATCACACTCAATCACGAATGCGTTAGTGAAATCAAGCAAAGCCAGAAAGGGTCCATGCATCATCCTCTCCTTGATTTCCTTGAATGTCTTGGTAGTGACAGGGATCCATCGATACCCTTCACCCTTTAGGCATTATGTGATTGGTGATATGATGGTGCTGAGGTTTTGAATAAATCTTGATGCAAAGTGGCAAGACCATGAAAACTTCACATTTCAGTCATGGTCTTAGGTTTAGGCAACTCAACAATCTCCTTAACCTTCTTTTGATCCATTTTCACACCATATAAATACACAAGATAACCTAAGAACACCAAACTATTAGTCATGAATGTACACTTCTTAAGGTTATTGTACCATTTCTCAGTCCTTAAAACTACATGCACTTGGTGCAAATGATCAAGGTGCACCTCTTGATTGGTGCTACACACCAAGATATGATCAAAATATTTAACAACAAGCTTCCCGAGGAAATCACTCGAGACTTGAGTCATCAAGTGCATACAAGTCCTCGGTACATTAGACAACCCAAATGGCATAACTAGCTACTCATTCAAGCCACTCTTTGTATTAAGGCTGTCATCCACTCATCCCCTTCTCAAATTCAGATCCGGTAATATCCACTCAAATTATCTTTGAGAGCACTGAAGAACCAACTAATGTATCTAACATGTCGTTAAGTCTTGGTATTAGAAACCTATCCTTAATTGCGATCTTGTTGATGGCTCAACTATCAACCCATAGATGCCAAGTTCCATCTTTCTTTGGTGTGAGTAATGCTGGAACTGCACACGGGCTCACATTTACCAAATAAGTGTCTTAGACACGAACTAATCAAGTTGATGCTACAACTCAACATGCTCCTTGGGGCTCATTTCATATGCCAGAAAATTATGCCAATTAGATTCCCCAATAAGGTCAATACAATGCTATATATTTCTCATTTGAGGCAATCTAGTTGGTAATTCTTCAGGTATAAGATTGGCTAGCTCCTCCATCAACAACTTAAGGGCTTTGGGCACCATAGAGAATTGCCCCAAGTCCTTTTCTATCATCTTGAAAATCTTCCCATATTCGCACTCATATCCACAAATTGTCGATACAAGAACAAAATCGCACCCTCTTGAATTGATTTAGGGGGGGTTTCATCTTGCAATGACCAATAACACAATCTTTTGATTATACTTTTAAAAAGTATAAGTGTTACATTCAACATTATGAAATTCTTACAATCATATTGCCATGGGTGGCCAAGCAATATATGGCAAGCATCCATGGGTGCAACGTCACACCACACTTCATTTAAGTGTTGGGTCCATGCCCAATCCCTGATTGATCACCTGAAGCTCGCTTCCTATTTGAGCTAGCAACTCCCCTAGTTGGAGGTGTCACCCTCTTTGGCTGTGACATCTCCACACTTCACTTCCAAGACCAGCACCTCTACCTATCGTTTCTTTGGCTTGCAATGCAACGTGATACATCGCTTCCAATTGTGGCAGGTGTTGCAAGCAAAATTGATGTAAATAAAAATTGGAGTTATCAAAAATTTATTTTATTTTATTTTTAATGGATTAATTTTTGTCATAGGAATAGGAAGTGCACTAGTATAACTTAAGTTAGGAGGAGGGAGGATTTTGGTGGTGCGTGAGTTGTTTTGATGATAGGATAGCAATTAGGTTGGTTCGTTTAAATGATTCCATTCTAGTGCGAATATCAGAATCTTGATTCCATTCTAGTGCGAATATCAGTTCCACATACATTGGAAACTTGATTCCTAAGATTTCAGATTCTCGATTCCTTAGAGGTTGAATTAAAGGAGGTAGGAATCTCAATTCCAAGGAAGTCAGAATCTTGATTCCATATGTGGCTGAATCTTGATTCTATTTTGGTCAATTCTCGATTCTCAAAAAATAGGAATCTCGCTCCCCGTAGTTCCCATTGTACGGACGTCGATTCTGAAAACCGGAATCTTCTAGCCAGCTGCGATTCTGCGATTTTGATTTCAAAAACAATTCGGTTCCTAGGCGTTTCCAAAAACTATGTACCAAATGATGCAAAACTGAGACTGCTTTTACAACAGTAATTGGACGATTACACTAGTCAATCAATCATGGAGAAAAATCCCCCATTCATTGTCAAGGAAGGAAAGGAACTAAGCGACTTTCAGCCCCATGTCTGGCCACTACACCTAGTAGAGGCCTTCCAACTCATAAGTTGGGTAATCTCTTTCACTCTCTCTCTCTCTCTCTACAACCAGTAGGAGGATAAAAATTCTACTTCATTTCATTCATCAACAACAACTGTTACAACAATGTACAATGCATATGAACATACAAGAGGACCCCAAACAATGACCAAAGTGTCCTAAACATAATAGGGAAACGACCGAACTGCCCCTATGCCATATTTTCCCATTCAACTCAATCAGCTTGCATGCAATACATGTATTCAAATTTTAAAGCATTGGAACCTTTCACCTTTGACTCTAGGGCTCACAATTTACAAGCCATAGAAACTCCACATTGCCCACACCTCTCATTAATTCTTTGATTTCATGGAACACCTTGGAACTAAACACCAATATGGCACTTTGACTTCACCTTACCCACACTCTATCCTAGACTATTTGCTTAAACCCAAATAGCCCATGAGTGACAAATTATAAAAGACTCTAACGAGTAAAACAATTCCAGAATTGACCAATGTAACCAATTAGAAAAGGACAGTTTAGTATCGACTTCTTGTAGATGTGATTTGCATCACAAAGTTGTTAAAATCAAAGTTTGAAGAGTGTGACTTGCTTGAGCCTCGAGAGGCATACTTTGTAAGTCTTGACAATACATTTATAACTTTCTGAAATAATTAAAAACTACAGAGGGAAATAAGATGAAATAGAAAAAGTCTAAATTGGACTCAAGAATACTCTGGGGGTGGAAGAAATGGCCAAGGCATCCTAAGTGCTCTTAGAACTAATCCTAAGCAAGGGCTACCGTGAGTAGATTTGAAAGCTGTCCTTTGACTGGTTGACTTTTATAACCATTGCTGTTTTAGTTTCTAGAACTAATGTCGTTTCCAAAAGTGTGAATCGATAAAATTGCTTTTATCATATGCAATGATTGCACAAACATCAATTTAGTCACTGCAATTCATTTGAACTTGTGCATTTAAATGCTTGGTTATCTTTCTGATTTCTCTCTAAACTTGAATTTCTTTAATATTGAAGAACACGTATTTTGTATCATATTTGCTGCTTTTTCTGAACGTTTTTTAAAATTAGTACAAAAGAAAGTCCAAATTCCAAAAGTCTCTTCTATTTGATTTAGAGGGACAATACATTTGAAAATTCAGATGATTTGTGAAATGTGACTATTCTAGTGGAGTTGTACATAAGTTCATGTATGCACATTGTGCTACAAAAGGAGTTGATAAGACTCTTTCTTTTGTAAATGACAGCTTTGCGATTTTGGGTTCGCTCGGGCAATGTCTTGTAACACTGTTGTGCTTCGTTCCATTAAAGGTTAGTTTTTATTTCTCATCCTATTTTTTTTTTGGGAAATTTATAAAAATATCCATGAGAGATGCACTATTTAGTATTTTACACTTTTGGTACTATTCCTACTCATCAATGGGTATTTTGAAATTAAATAAACGATATGGGTACAATGTTAAATAGTTCATCTCACATGGTTATGAAAATAGTTTCCTATTTTCTTTTTATCATTTGAAGATGCTATGTACATTTTTAGTATATTTTATCAACGTTGTTGAATTTGTACTAATATTGGTGTTTTTGAGCTACATGGCATTTGAAATGATGAGAATATAAGATTATTTATTCCTTGCTGCATGCTTTAAATTACATCTGAGTGTAGTGGATCTTAAAGACAACATAATGTAGGACTGGTAACTTGAGCATTTGGATTGTACTTCTTTCTTGGTTTGCATTGAATTTCTCCTTTCAGTAAAAATTCTGCCTTTAAACTTCCTGGAGTGCTGCCCCTGACCTATGAAGATTATTTCTTCTAGATTAGTTAGGGTTGGTTCTTTCTGCTTAGTACATATATCTTCTCTTTGAGATATCAGTTTGGCGTTTCAAGGTCTCTGCTCTGTACGAAACATGTATAACTTTAAGTTATTTGATTTTTTTTGAATTCGTCATAATTCAGTACTCTATGCCTTCTTGCTCCAGCTACTTATAGTTGACTAGATATGTTTAAATTTTATAGCACAAGATTTTTTGCATTCTGTATTTACATTTATTATTTATCTGTTTTAATTTTCCCCTTTGATTTAAAATATTACTTTCTTTATCTTGAGAAATACTTCACAAGTAAGATCTGGTCTTGTTCTCTTGATTATATTTGGTATGAATATGTTGTCTTGGTAATGATTGAGATTTTCTAATTGGCATCATTTTCTGTAGGAACACCATTGTACATGGCTCCAGAACTTGTTCGTGAACAACCCTACAATCACACTGCTGATTTGTGGTCTCTTGGAGTGATCTTGTATGCATTATTAATTATGTTTCTCCTATTTGTTGTTGTATTATTTATTGATGAGCTTTTGTTGATCATGTTCTGCAAACTCTATTGCATTTTTCTTCGCTATCTTTGTTGTGAACTCATATATTAGGTTTTCAGTTTGAAGTTCTTGATGTGGAATGTCTAGGTATGAACTTTATGTTGGTCAGCCTCCGTTTTATACAAATTCAGTTATTGCACTTGTTCGGCATATAGTCAAGGTATAACTGTGTCAAGTCTTGTTTCTTCATATCTTTAAAAATTTCTGAATGAGATATCACCTCTAACATTTTTGCTGTCTTTATTGTAATATTGTACAGGACCCTGTGAAATATCCGGACAACATAAGTCCAAATTTCAAAAGTTTCCTCAAGGGATTGCTCAACAAGGTTTTATTCCATGCCAAAAATTCTGTAGATTTTTATGTTGGACCTATCTTATCTTTCTAACGTATTGCACTGATCTCTAAATAATGTGACACAGGTACCACAAAACAGGTTGTCGTGGCCTGCTCTTCTTGATCACCCATTTGTTAAAGAAACCCCAAGCGAGCTCCATGCCAGGGTAAAGCTTCGTTCTAGCTATTGAAATCCATTGGACATGGGAGTAGCGATGATATCTTATTTTTGCATTGGGATGTTTGAAGTGATTCTCTTACAACTTTGTTATTGATTTGTGTTCCTTTGCAATTCATGTATGTCTTAAATAAATGTTTGGCAAGTTATTCCAGGAACTTCGTGCTGCCACTGCTGCAACCAGAGGATGTGATGCAGCATGGAGGGGAGAAGTGCAATGCATGCTTCCCTCAACACTCGTACCCCCTTCTTCTAGTCCTGAGAGTAAGACCAATGGTAAGCACATTTAATTTGCACTTGAATGTTCATGTTTATGATACTTACACATTTTCCTTCAGGCCAGTGTCATGCTGCTGTACCTCTGGAAAACGAGGAAAGAAGCCCTCCAAATGATAGGCTTGCATATATTGTACCTTCTGCTGTAGACAACTTATTACAACAACAAGAGTCTTCTGGACATGCCGCTCCTATTGTTCTTGTGAACTCTGGTACAATACAGTCTAACAAGATCTTGACATTTACTTGAGTGCTATCTGGAATCCTTTTAAGGATATACTGATGAATGAATGGTCATGCTCTGGCTGCAGCCATTTTTTATCATATCAGACTATTTTAATATTATTAGGTTTTGAGTATTTTTGAGACCAGCATACCATCTATGGGTTTTATTTTTATCTCCTGAAAGATTGCTGTAGACAGGAGAGCGGGATTTGGTCTTATTATTCTCAAGAGTGAGTAGTTTTTTGCTGTGTCAATATAACATTTTCTGGATTATGGTGCAGATGTCAAGGCTGCAAGGATTTTCACCATTAATTGTTTGAATGTACACAATCTTTTGAAGATTGATAGTTGAAAACACACAAATTCGACAGAACTGAATTTCCTTATGAGCCAGTTTAACGGGCTAGAACTAGACTGTCTTGAATTCGCTCCCTCTTTAGGGGGTTTTGTTGATGCTAATATTGTGGAGGCTATGACATTGATATTCATGCATGAATTGACCAATCAGGAAAAAGCTATACATTCATGCATTCTTAGAACCATTTGATGCAAGGCGTTTAACACAGGGCCTAGGAGGCTGGTTCGACAGGTGGACTTGCAAACAAACTGGTGCCCAAACTGGTCCAGGCCAGCCCCTTGGACTGGTCTGTCCAGTGAAATGGGGCTGGACTGCTGGACCTGCATGTTAGATTGGTGAACCGGTGGACCAGCTAGTCCCTATGGGGGTGAAATTTGCCCAAAAACTCCTGTTTTGTTGTTGTTGTTGAAAAGGTGCACAATTTTTTGGGTTTTTTTGGTTCTTTTAAAAAAGTAAGGTGGCGTTTTGGTAGTTTAATACTTTTGGGAGGTTTTGGGGGGTTAAAAAGATGTTGTTTAGAGAGAGAGAGAAAGAGCAACTTTGGCATTTTTTGCTCCCCCCCTCTCTCTACCCAAAATCCCTATTGCTTTGGGTGAAAATGCAGCCATTTTCCAGTGTGATCATGTCTATCGATCTGCATTACATCGAACCCAAGTTTTTTATCCTTTTTTCTTTTATTATTTGTTTTATATTTGGAAAACATAGTAACATATTTTGTTTTTTCAAGATTTAGCCAAGAAATGATTTTTTAACCCTTCCTTTTCCAAAGTAATGCATTAGTTTATATCTTCGGATCATGTGAATGGTTGTTTTTGATTCATTTACAGCCTTCTTGTTGATTTTTGACTAGTTGTGTATAAAAGTTAGTTTTTTTGTGGTTTAGGATTTTGATTGTTATTTTAATTTCATTTCTGGTTATATATGAAATAAAGGGAACTAAGCTTTCAGTATTTTTAAAAATTGATGACCTCTATGGAGCTGTAGTGAATAATGAAACACAAAAATTGGATATTAAACTATTTCCCTTTCTTTATGAACAGTTGGACCCTTATATTTTTGTAGTTTGTAGTGCACTTTGTAGATTCTACCAAGGTGTGGCCCTTGGGATGTGGAGATTTGGATATGTGGATTTGTGGAGTTTGATACAGTTGTACTTTATGTTTAACTATTTCCCCTTTTTTCAATGGACTTTTTTTTTAGTTGGTAGTTTGTACTTTTAGTGTACGTTGTAGTTTTTACCAAGGAGTGGCCCTTGGGACGTGGAGATTTGGGGATGTGGATTTGTGGACTTTGGTCTAATTTTACTTTTCCCATTCCCAATATTATGGTGTTTTGTGTTTTTTAAATTTTTCTTAAGTATTGTTCTTAATTTTTTTCTGAGTTTCTAGTTTTTTAAAGGGAAAAGATGGAATTAGCCCACTAGCATATATGAACATATGAGCCCAACGGCCCAGATTGAATCTGGGCCGATCTGACGAACACGGATATCCAGTAGTGCTTGAATTTTAGTTTTTTTTCTACAAATCCAAATTACTTGAAATTTTAGGTGTGTGTTCTTCTCATCAAGGCGCACCTAATAAAAATATAAACAAATTATCCTTGAAAAAAAAAGACCAAAATACCCCTCGAAACTTTTCAGGGGTATTTTGGTCAATTTATTTCATGTAAAATATTTTTTTGATATTTTTCGAAGATTCACCTATTTTTGATGAACACATGCCTAAAATTTCAAGTGATTTGGATTTATAGAAAAAAAAACTAAAATTCTAACACTACCGGACATCTGTGATCGTCAGATCGGCCCAGATTCAATCTGAGACGTTGGGCTCATATGAGCTAGTGGGCTAATCCCATTTGTTCCCTTTTGTAAATATTTCTATGCTTTTTTATTTTTTAATGTTGCTATGTCCTATTTTTTAATCATGTTATTGGTCTGACCAGTGGACTGGTCCAATCCAACTGGTCTGACTAGAACGGTGCCCTAACCAGTTTGGTCAGTCTTGATGCCCATGGTTCGATGATGGATAATGTAGAAAGTAGAAACACAGTCTCCATATTTTCCCTAAGAGCTTTCTTGATGTGTACTATAGCTAGAATTTATCTCTGTTATACCACCACACTGTAATTTCTCCAATCAGAAAAAGTTACAGCATATGATAGATCTCTTTCTGATTTGTTTTTTCAATAATTAACTTTTAACCCCCCCTATATCATTTTCTGACTTCTTTGATCATTTCTATCTTTCTCATCCTGAGTTGTATACTTGTTTAATTCCATGGAATCTTTGTTGCAGCAAGCCAATTATTAGACAAGTTGGAAAACAATTCTCGAACAATCAAAGGCGCAAATGCTATTTTTCAAGATAGTGAAGCTTTGTCACTTATTGTGCAACCAATGAAAAATTTCACCACAAAAAGTTCACCCCATTTTTGCAGGTAGTGTGCACCCTTCTTTTCCCCCAAAAAATATACTTCTTACGATATCTGACACTTCTGTAATTGCTTTCTTCTTATTGATGTTTCCTCATAGAGAACAGTGGCTCATCAGTTGCTTTACTTAAATGAGTTTCTATGGGGACTATCTTGCATTTGCTAAAGTTGTAGCCTTTAATGAGGAATGTCCTGAAAAAATATATTGCAATGGCTCCTTAGAGTCCCAACTAATCACCAAAACAAAGAGGGAGGGTGAGGGAGGAAGGGAGCTGATATTCTGGACAAAGATGTTTCCATTCTTGTTAGTTCAAGTTTGTGGGTCCCAATCCTTGAGCCCCTGATCGTTCATGGTTCGCAATGAGTCCCTAGACTTCATAGGATCCCTCTCAATGATTGGCTGACAGTCCACCTAATAATTCCAATGTTGTACTTTGCCATTGTAATTTATGCTTAACTGGCAAAAACATGTGATGGAATCTTCACAACAAACTTTGTCTTCAAACTTACTTTCTAGGATAGCAGCGCATACCTAGAAAAGAATGCTCTAGCAAATACCTATGAAAATACTTATGAAAGTACCTGAAAATTTATTATAAATGCAATATACCTCTGGTCACCAAAAATCATCCCAAAACTAGGGAATTTCAATACCGCAATAAACTCATTTCAAGTGTATCCACACTTAAAAATTTCTCCAGGAATTTTAGTTTCAAATACCTGTAGAAAGCAAACAAATTGTCCCACAAATTATTTGAGAACTTAGGTAGCCATAGAAATCAATTTGCGCGTTATTTAGACAATAAGGGTACAATGTGAAGGCCTGTTGTAGACCTCATTTCATTATTTCTGTGATCACGTGGCATCCTGGTCTACTCTAATCTTGATTCTCCACATCTAAACAGTCGATACTCATCAATACCCTACTCCCATGATTTACTTTGCGCATGTAACTAAAGCATTGACTTGTTCTTTCTGCTTGGCAACCAGACTTGAAGTCCAAGGATGAAGCAATATTGGTATCTGACATCTGTAACAAGGACTGCACACATGTAGGCCACTTGCTACAAGCTCTTATTAGAGCAGTCTGTTGGCCAGTGGTCACATTTGTTGCATGTGCGTGATAAACACATAGCATGCAATAGAGTCAATCATACTCGTGGTTTGGGACTTTTGAACCCTTGGATAACTAAAAATATATCAATTGTGTGCTTTAACGTGTGGGAAACTAACAACCATATTATCCTCAGCACTCTGAGATGTTATTACTGAAACCAAGAGGTCTGGTTAATACCTATGATGAAAAAACGATATGCCAAATTGTGGTATACTACTGACTATTCCAATCATTGGTAAATTGAGCATTTGAGTTCAAAAGGATGAAGAACAAAACTTCTTGATCTTGATGATCACATGGAGAGTGGAAATATATGGTGCTCTTATTTTCTGACCCAAAATGGTCGAAATGTTGGGGCATAGCATATGGATGATATAAATCAAATGCCCTCGAAAGCCACAAGGTCGTGCAATCTAAAATGTTTCCTGGAAGTAGTAGACAGGGTTGAGGATCCCCCAAGAGGCCGACACTAAAATAAAACTGGTTCTCTTTGTGAGATATGGCATAACCAGTATACACTTTGCTGTCTTGCTACAGTAGGCTCCCATCCCCTCCTGCAAGATGTAGATAGCTAGCCATGAAAAAGTTCTGATATGTTTGACAAACATTGTAGAAAGAACCATGCGTATCCCATTTCAGCTTTAGGGAGGGTATAAGATACAAGTGTTACTTATTCCATTCACTTATGTGCATATTGCCATCAGTGTTGCATAAAGACTCCACTATTGCTGTGGTGTTACATGTTGATGCTTAGATGCGCAGACATGCCCCCGACACCGTGACTCTATGTGTCGGGTCATTTTAATGTGTAAGAGTACATGTCGACACTTCATTGAGAGGTGTTGTCCTTGTACACATGCGGTACCCATATATTTCTTAACAAAAAAATCCTTGGTGTCCCCACAATTTCGAATGTAAGACATGAGGTCTAATAATGTTCACTCCACCATGCAGCTCACATAGCTCGCATGCCATTGCCAACTTAAACAGGGAACCCTTTTATGAACATGCGTTTTGCTTAATTAGTTGCCCTATAAAATCGATATTGCTTTGATATTTGTTCAATTAATTGTGCATATAAACAATAACGGTTTAGTACCTGCTTAATTAATTTAAAACAATACAGTTTTAATACCTTCTTAATTATTACGCTGTAAAAAGATTAATGCTTGTATCATAGATGGAATGTGACAAGCCAGCATAATGCAATGTACAACAAAAAGCCGCTTTTTGGGCTACACTCTAAGACCTCTTGCCTTTCTGAGCTCATGCTACTGAATTTGCCATGTGAAGTTAGCATATATGAGTTTAAAAATTAATTATGCAATAGATTTTTAGAGTAATACATTGTACAGAAGTGTCAGCAATACATTGCACAGAAGTGTCAAGAAGTACTGATTTTTCAGCCTCCCGTACTAGAAACCTCAATACGTACTAGACACTGCCACATGTATCGATATCTATGCAGCACTGACTGCAATTGTTTAATTCTTATATGCTCACTGCTGAGAGAATAAAGACCCAGTCACCTATAAATACATATATAGATTTTGTGCCTCTTAACCACTTCTATTTTCATTCAACTGATGAGTGCTTTTGAATTAGTTGTGTTCTTTCACTTAGAATTCCACATCTCAACACCAGATTTATATCTGAGGTTTCTATAGTAAGGAAACTGTCCTCTAGGGAATGTGAATAAGGAATATATATTTCTGAAATTGCTAAACTTACAACCATTACTAGAAGTTGAACAGACCTTTTATTGATGACCGAGCTATGCCTTGAATAATTGCAGTTTATTTCATGATCTCCAGACGGAGTATCTAATATCGGGCTCACATGTATGGTGACTGGAATAAATATATCTGTGAAGCCAGCATGACATGGAAGTGGCCTATGAAATTGTAAGAAATTTGACCAAAGAAAAGAACTACAGATTCGTTCCCTTTATCCTTGATCTCGAGGTTTTCTTATGTCTGTTGATCAACATGAGTCACTGAAAATTTCTGAATTTTAATATCCTTACACCCCTCAACTTTATGATTTGGTTCCTTATAACCTGTCTAACAAGAGTCAGATGAAACGAGATTAGAAGATAATGAAATTTTGTATTTCTTGTTGAGGTATACGCCGGACATCTTTTACACACACACACACACCCCCACGCCCCCCGAAAAAAAAAAAAGAAAAAGAAAAGCTGTACATCTAAATACAACAATCTCATCTAATGGGTTGTTTGGAACGTGGCATTTGCAAAACCTGGTCATGCATCAAATCCTAGGTAGTATTTGTAAAACATGGTTTTACGAACAATGCCGTTTGGGGAGCTTTTGGATGAACCTAGTATATAACAAATCCCTTGTTTCGCTCATCTAAATGTAAAACCAGGTTTTGGCTATTTGCTTTTTAAACTTGTTTAGCCGTTCATTTCATAATTTGATGGTTACATTTTAGTATATTTCCAATTAAAATAATTTATTGAAAATTATAATATTAATAAATATTATAATAAAAAATGGTTATATTATAATAGCATTGTTAGGATGGTCTATAAACACTTGAAAAATGAACTGTAAACTCCAAAAATGGTTCAAATCAAGTAGATCTATAAACACTTGAAAATCTTGAAAATGGACGGTCTAGATAATTTGTTGCAAGATACATTATTTATAGGACTCAAATTTTTTTTTTTTCTTTTTCATATTCATACATCTTGATGTCGAGATCAATTAGATGTTTTCTCAATGCTATATTGTAATATGATAATACTATTTTTAATGATATTGTAATATAATAATACTAGTATCAATGATATTGGTGATATTTCATAATAAATATTTATGACAACAACAACAACAATAATAATCATAATATAAATATTATAATTATGTAATAATTTATAATAACTATATAATGATATAATATCATTTTATTAGTATTAATATAATATTATGATATTATTAAATATTATAATAAAAATACAAAATATTTTAATATTAATTTAATATGATTTTGATATATTGAGATAATAATATAATATTATAATAAAAATATAATGATATTGCATGTTATTATTATAGTAGTAATAAAAATATAATGATAGTACATATTATTATAGTATAATATTATTATATTATAATAGCATTTTTTTTTTGTGGAAAATGTTAACTGTTGTATTGTTAAAACGAATGTACAAAAATTGAAGCACCCACAGAATGGGTGTTCGTATACAAAGACCCTTTATATTATGATAGCATATTATAATATAATAATACTAATATTTATTGCATTGATGATATTTTCATAAATAATAGTAATACTAATTAATAATAATAATGATGATAAATATTAAAATATAAATATTATAACAATGGAATAATATCATTATCGTGAGTTAGAAAGAAAAAGGGGAAGAGGCACGCACTCCAAGGTAAAAGGCTAGCTTTTCCAGAAGCTTGCATTTGCTCATTCCAAGTTCTTTTTGAAATGAACAAATGCTGGATATGGGACGTTTTGAGGATTTGGATATCCTGGTTCTCTAGAAATAGACCCAAACAACCTTAGGTCATCGAACTTAGATATGCAAAAGAAGAATGTCATCTATGCATGAGATATCTTCTTGGTTTGAATTTCTTATTGATATTCATTCATTTATTGAGGGATATTTTTTTATGGGTGCGGTCCGTATAGAGCCTAGGCTCTAAACAATCAAATTAGAGCCTACCTTCAAATAGTGTCGAGATATGTGGTTTCAATACTGGAAATCGTTGTGATAGCCTTAAAATATATTTTCATCTTTATTTATAAAGTTTAAAGCTTTAAAAATAGTGTAGATCAACAGATCTATGAAAACTTGAAAATCCTGAAAATTCATAGTCTAAAAATGCGTTACAAAATAGACTATTTCCAAAACCTGAAATCCATTTTTTTCTCATGTCCATGCATTTTGATGTCGAGATGATCAATTTGAGGATATTTGGGCATCAAAACAACCTCTTCTAAAGAGATTTTTGAGGTAGGCTCTAATTTGATTGTTTAGAGCCTCGGCTCTATATGAACTTTTCCCTTTTTTGTTGGTGTATAACTAGAAACTTCAATACTGATGCAGTGCTTAAGTTAAACTTCTCTGAGATAGCTATTGCATCTTTAGTTGTTACTGTGTTCTGAATTGGTTAAAGTTCACTCGGCATGCCTATGGCTTCTTGTTCCATCAAACTGCTGCTGATTGTGAGAAAATTGTGCTCATACATGTCCTTCAGCGACCAGGTTACCGCTGATATAAGTCAATCAATAAGAATTCTCACGAATTTAGTTGCTGCTGGGGTTCTTCATTCAAACTCAGCATTAACTGAAATGATAGTTGCAATCCTTGATCTCATCAAAGCCATGTTTGGTCCAAATATATCAGATGGTAATGCCTTGATAGTGAAGGTATGAAATGAGCACCCTGAGAGATGCACATTTGAAATTCGTTTTAGGTTGATTGTTTTATAGTTTATTATTTTTTTCATTTTCGTAGGTCCTCTCGATTTTGAGGAAGCTTATGGATGTTTCTAGAACTCTGTACTTGCAGCACTGGGTTACCTTCACAGAGTTTTACTCACAGGTTTTCTTCTGCAGTGTCATCCACTTAAACATATATTGTAATGAAGCTCATAGATATTTATATTTCTAAACTTGCTTCCAATATGAATATGCAGGTAGTAGGTTGTATAAAAGATGTATCTGGTCGACTTCTGTATGAGTCAACTGCATGTATTTCTATGGTGTTGACTCAAGTCACTCAGGGGCTCCATTCTTTCATGGCTCCAGATATGGTAGCTGGTTCTTCACCAGAGGAGAACACTATGATACAAATACTTGATCACGCTAAATCGTCTGGTCTCATGGGTCAAATCTGTCTATGCCTTGAGATATCTGGATCAGGTCTCATGTCAGGCTCTTCCAATCACTGTGCTGCAGCTTGTGAAGCATGCAAAGCTACATGGGCTTTGGTGGATGCATCTGAGATTGTGGCTATGAAGGGTCATGTTCGCTTATTTCCATTGAGCTCTTTCATTGTCCATTCTGAGCTTCAGCTTGGTCCAAGAGTACAAAGCCAACATGCGTGTGATGAGGTAGAATCTTCAAACACTGTTGAGGCATTCTCAAAAGTGCTATTTGGATCAAAAGCAATGCAAGTTGCTTTACATTATGCTCTTCATCAAGGTTTTGAGCAATCTCTAGGTGCTACTATTCAGGTAATTTTCGTTTTCTATTTTTCTTCTAATCTTAAATAGATATAAGCTATGGTTATACATCCCCAGATGCATTTATTGGCATGAGGGAGGAACGGATGGTCATTTTCACTTGTCTAAAGTTCTTTGAGATAATCTTATAGCTCCCTTCTCTGCACCATCGTGAAGGGAGTGTCATTTTCTACGTGTATAATTCTTTGAGATATCTTATGCTTCCTTCTCTGCACCATCATTTGGAGACGTTTTCGTTTTAATAGCATTTACACATCAGTTAGGGTCATTTTTCATGTGTGTAAAGTTCTTTGTGATATCTTATGCTCCCTTCTCTGCACCATCATTTTGTACCAGGCTTTGTTTAGTAGTACTTATACGTCAGTTCGAAGCATAATCATCAAGGAACTGACATTGGAAAATACATTGTAGTTTATACATGCAAATGATGTGTATACTTAAGGTGGAGCACTCACCATCATTTCTCTAGACAGATGGTGGAATTGAACTGCTGTTCTCCCTGGATGTCCGTCACATCTGCAGTGCTCCATCATTGTCCAACTTGAAAATGATAGTGGATGCCCTGCCTGTATCTTGTATGGCATAAGCATCATGTGCATCTGTACGATCCCAATATCATTTATGAACGTAAATGCTGATGCTGTGTGCTATTCCTATTGTCCCAGCTCATGTTGAGGTGCTGCATATTTAGTCCACCTCTCTGTAATGTGTTCTGTGGACTGCCAAATCCACTACCCATTTCAAGTCCCATGAATGGTGGAGGAGACAAGACTTTTGTTGCAGACATCTTTCGCGCATTATATCTCTGTGCTTCTTCAGGCAAAGAATCCTCAACTGGTGAACCAAAATCCAATAAGATATCCAACCCAGAATCACTAGTTACCATTTCTTGCCTAGCTCTTGCCACTATTGCCCAAGGATTAAAGATGCGAACAAGGCATTCACCATCATGTATCTTGACACTATCACAAACAAAACAAAAGGACCGCCTTTCTCTTCTCGCGCGCCTGGCTTCTTCTAACAATTGGTCCACCTGCTCCACCCCTCCACCTCGATGTGCATCGGCCATGTTGGCTCTTGCTTCCATTTTATCTCTTGAAGATGATTTCGACAGACCCAATAACTCGCCCTTCTCCGAAATTACATTGGCCTTGATACCCCCTACAGCAACTCTACGCACCTTTCTCAGTACCCCACCCTCTGATGCTACTAACGTAGATTCTATGATGCTTACAAACTGGAATGGCCTCAGAGATGGCTGCCTCGGCTTGCTTGAGGCAAGGCTAAAATGGGGTGGCCCTTTGGCCATAGAACAAGCTTGTTCAATTGGTATTCCTTCCCATCTGTTCTTTTTATTAGCTGAAGGCTCTCAAAAGGAAGATAAGATGAGGGAAAGAATTGGGTTATCTCCAGTTGGGGTTGTATGGGGAGTTTCTTCAATTGCTCTGTGCCTTTGTGGTGGAGCTTTCCGAGACATTTTGTACCGAAAAGAACACCTTGGTTTCTTTTGTGACTTGATATCTGAACCCCACCTCAAAGCTCTCAAATGTTGGAAAGGGCATGGTGGTGGCTCTGTTGGAATCAGAGATCTAATCAGTGCAACAGTTAATGTTATGGCATTTCCATTTGTAGCATTACAGAGTGTTCCTGGTGGGCCCTCCCCGTCTGCATCCATTAACAGCGGTTTCCTTCTTAATTCGGGATCACCAGGGAGAAGAATGTGGGGAGAGAATAAGGAAGATGTTGAATTCATTGAGAAAAGAATGCCCCAATATGTTCAAATGCTTTGTGAGGTAATAAAATGTCATAGTGAAACATACTACCGCCCAAGGGACCATGGAAAAAACAGTCCTTAGTTTCATCACCTTCTATTGACATGGACAATGATGATTAGTGGGGCTCTTCATTGGCTTATGTCTTGTTTGGTGCATACTTCTTCATCATTGTGTACCATTTCACTAGACGGCCATGACCTTAAGGATTATGGTTCTTGCATAGTAAATAGGACTATATTATGCATTCCCAAATGCTAGTGCCTTCTTCTGTTGAACATTTAGTATTTGCTTGTTTAGCTTGATATAATTTCCTTGGAATGGCAGATAGGCTTGCCTGCTCAAATTCTCAAGTGCATCGAGTATTTGGAAGGAAATGACCTTGGAAGGCCTGTGGCGTTTATAGCTAAGATGATAGGTTACAAGCCTCTATCCGTGCAGCTTTTGAAAGAGGGTTTGTTGGAACCAGGCCGGGTGAGAATGCTACTTGAAGAAGGTTCCAGCCCAAAGGAAGTTGTTATTGATGTTCTAATGATAGTTTCTGAGCTTGCTCGGATGTCAAAGGTAAGGAACTTGATTTCAATTGTTTCATTGAAAGTTGAAAGAGTCAACAGTCTCATCTAAAATGCCATGAGAAAAAAAGTCTTATCTATTGCTTAATTGTGCAATATTGCAGGATCTCTATGAAGCAATTCACAAGGCAGATCTACTGCAACTCCTAAAGGGTTTTCTAAATCATGACGATGCAAATATTAGGGCAAAAGCTTGCAGTGCCATTGGCAACATGTGCCGCCACAGCCCTTATTTCTATGCCTCGCTTGTATGTAAAATGCATCATATACGAATACGCATAACATAAAACAGTAGGCCAAACCATCAAGCAATATCCACATAAATGAGCTTAGATAATTTCTGATCCATGCATCATTTTTCTTGCATTCATTTTGCCATCCATAGAAGAAAGCTAAAACAAATTTTTGCTTTACAGTTAAGACATGATATTGTTAGTCTCCTCATAGAAAGATGTGCAGATCCAGACAAAAGAACCCGAAAGTTTGCATGTTTTGCAGTAAGTTCCTTTCTCTCTCTCTCTCTTATGTAACAGTAAGTGCGTTTTATGGGGTAGTGTCACATTACTCTCCAAATGGGAATCTGATTCTCTTGTTCTCTCCAGCTTGGTAATGCTGCATACCACAATGAATTACTATATGAAGAGCTAAGAAGGTCCATTCCTCAGCTCACAAACCTACTTCAGGCATCAGAGGAAGACAAGACTAAAGCCAATGCAGCAGGTGCTATTAGCAACTTGGTTCGAAACTCCAGTAAGCTATGTGAAGACATTATCACAAAAGGAGCCTTGCAGGTACGTAGTACTCAATGGTGTTATTTTTATTTAGCATTCTTTTTTCCTTGATTTTTTTTATACTTATTTGTCTTGAGGGCTCTGGTTAGATGTACAATTTAGAAAGTTGGCAACCCATTTTGGGATTAATAGTTTATTCTTAGTTTTATTAATTTTATCCATCGAAGATAACAGTTCATTCCTTTTCAGTCAGAAACATGTATCAAACTCTACTTGATTATATTAAGTGGCTTAATTACACAATTGAAGTTCTTTCTCCATATTATAGTGGTGAATTTATTCTTTCTTTTTTTAAAAAAAAATTTAAGTTGTGCTTGTGTAGAATATGTCGAGTGTTAATAGGCTGTTTTTTAAAGCTTTTCCATTTCTTCAAGCTTTACTTACTGTAATTTTTTCTTTTGTAAATGTATCTGAGATTGTCTTGGGAACTTCTTGAGAAAATATAAATAAGAAAATCCTCTGAGAAATTCCAATATATTAAGGTTTCCATCTAAGGTGTCCTTTCTCTTATGCAGGCTTTGCTCAAGCTAGTATCTGAGCACTCAGTTGCAGCATTGAGCGCTGGATCAAGGGATGCTATGGGTGATTCATCCATCAAGATAGCCCTATTTTCACTTGGTAGCATATGTGCACACCCCCCTTGCAAGCAATTTATCCGTTCTTCTGACTTCTTTCCAGTCCTTGTGCGCCTCAGACACTCTCCTGAGCCCACCATATCTAGGTACTCGTGTCGCATACTTAGCAAGTTTTCTGATGCCTGAACACTCTCTCTGTCTCTCTATTGATACAACTTTGCCATTGCATTCTAGGTAAATTGTTCATCGAGCTCATGAGAGTTGTTGTATGCCACATATTTGAGATTCTCATATGTAAATGTGTTTGTTGTAATCTGCGAGTGGGGCCACATGGAGCTCACTTTTTTCTGGTACTGTTCTTTACAAAAACATGGTTTAGTGCTCAAGGGTTTGATGGAACCAATTGGTTGGTGCATATTCATCGACATCAAAAGATCTAGTTTCTTTTTTCCTGCTACTTAATTTCGGCAAAACCAGAGAGATGACAGGCCAAGGGAAAAGGAAGAGATATCTTCTGATGGAGTGGAAGCGTCTCTTGTGAAAGTGGGTCAAACTTTTCCAAACTGATCTACATACATCCAATCTAACCAAGATTAAAAAAAGGCATCCAATCTAACCAGTTGCAATCAACAATAACTCTGGGATTAGGCATTTTTTAAAGAGATTAGAAACCTTTTAAGCACTAGGTAAATGCTTGCCAACATTCTTACAATGCACACACTTTCTATAGAAAAACAGATAGGTTCTGATTTTTTGGGTGGTTTTTGTAGACCGAGGATTAACATTCAGATCTTCCACTGAAAATGTGAAGCAGTAAAGTTTATAGGAAAATTTTTATATAAGGTTGTGGCCCTAAACAATTAAATTGAGGCGCACCTTAAAAATTCTCTAGAGGTTGTTTCAATGACCAAAATTTCTCATAAAAAAAAACGGGTTTAAAGTTATCGAGGCCATCAAGTTTCTAGGTTTTATGTTCATAGATCAGCTGGATCTATGCTTTTTTTGAAGCTTTAAATTTTATAGTTATGTATGAAAATAAAATTTGAGGCCATGACATATATATCCTCTACTAAGACATCTTTCAACCCTATTTGAAGGTGCGCCTTACTTCGATTGTTTAGGGCCGCAGCCTTATACAAATCACACCCAAGTTTATATAATTAATGAAAGTTGCAAGTTATCACGACAGAGAGAGAACGACAGAGAGAGAGACAGAGGAGAGAGATTACTAAGTAGGTGGGGATGGGGAGAGAGAGATTACATTAAGTGGGTGGGAAGTGGTGAGAGAGAGATCAAATTGAATGGGTAGGATGTGCTGAGAGGAACAAAATAATTAATATTAGAAGAAACAACACTATAATTCGAAACACACCTCACAAATGCTTTAAATACCCCAACCCAACCGTCAGCCAACAAGAAAACGATGCACAGCCTGGCTGGCCTGCCCTCATTTGAGGGGCCGACACCATTCACTAAATAACAACAAATACCAATAAATCTCACCACATACATAATTAAAACACCAGCACCCTACAAATATCCCCAAACCCATCTACAACCCCTCCTATACGAAGTCCCCCACAAAAGCGAAAATCCCCAAAAATCCAACAGGAGAGAGAGAGAGAATATGGGGTCTTCCCATTTTTTCTCTTTTTCAGGATGACAGAGATAGAAAATAAACCCATTCAAAATTCTTAGGGTTTTCTAACTTGTAGAGAGAGAAAAGAAAGATAAATGAAAATTTGGGGGTTTTTGTATTCTCTCTCTTGTTTTTGTCACTCACTAGAGATGGCATCCAAAGCAATTGCAGGTTTTTGGAGTGAAGGAGCAAAATCCAAAGGGCCTGTTAGGGATGTTGCAGTTGATGGCATAGCAGCAAGGGGAGGGAAGGCAGAGGCCCTTGGGACCCCCACAACATGTACAGAGGGCACAGATATGAAACCCACCGAGCTTCCTCCTCTTCTCCTCCATTATCATTCCAAATCTCATATCATTTTCACCACCCAGTGGTACCATGCTGACATTTTCTCTCTTAACCTCTTCTTCTAAGCCACCTACCTGCAATGAACCAATTCATCATTCTTAACCAATCTTAATAGAAAAGCAAATAGTTTTTTCACAAATTACAGCTCCATTTGGAGACACAAACAAACAGGCATGAGAGAGAGCGAAAAGATCACTAGAAAAAGCCTAAATAAAAAAACAAAGAAGCAAGCCCTTCACAAACAACAGATGCATTCAAGGATAGCAAACCAAACTCTAGAGAGAGAGCAGAAACATTCAAGAAGAGAAAACCTAGCACACCAAAACTTGGATGGAAAAGAAATAGAGAGCCTAATTCAGCCAAGAAGACCTAATAAGGACAGCTGAGAAAACCCTCACAGATCACAGCTGCAATCAATTAGAAAACCTAGTACACCAAACTTGCATGAGAGAAAAGGCAAGAGAAAACTGAAAATGTCAAAATAAACCCCAATAACAAAGCCAAAAGATTACTCTTTCACAACCTCAAACTGCATTCAACTTAAAACCTAGTAATTGCAGTTGCACAGAGAGAGAGAGAGAGAGAGAGAGAGAGAGAGAGTGTGTGTGTCTGTGTGGGTGTGTGTGTAAACAAAGAAACCCAACACTCCAACACCATTAATCCTTCCAAATAACCATTGAACTATGCCATGTCAAAGACAGAGAAGAGAATAAAGCCCACTTCAAAACCACTACTCAGATGATAAACACAAAACAAGAAAGAAGCAACTAAAGGCAGCCCAATGACCCACTTTGAACCAAGACAAGAGAAAGAAAAAGAAAGAATAAAGAGAAGAAACCCCAAGAACTAACCTGTGATGCCTCGGTGACAAGGCCAAGAAGCATGAGTAGAAGGAGATACAAACATTGCTTCTTCTCCCTCATCTTCCCCTGTTTGTGCAAAGAGTTGGAGAGAGAGATGCTATAAAGGTAAGCTTTATCAGTTTAGAAAGTAAGTGTGAAAGCCTGGAGGAAAAAAAGGGTGAGCTATTGGGCGAGGAGAGAGAAAAAAGGAGGGAGAAAAGGGTTTGGCCAATGCTTCATTAATGCCCCACCTGCAAACCATGTGTTAGGTCTGCCTTAAGCAAGGAGAGAGACAGAGATAGAGAGAGAGAGAGAGAGGGTAAAGGATGTGCTGAGATTTCTCACCTGCTTGTGAAACTAGAGTGAGAGTGTATACTCCACCATTCTGTGAGGAAGAGAAAGAATGTGTGCTTGCAGAGAGAGAAACAAGAATGGAAAGGGAAGTAATGTAAAAATAAAAATAACGTTTGGGGCTTGTTTTGTTTGTTTTGTAAGAATGTGGTGACTGATTCAAATGATGACGTCCAATGAGACATGCATATAGCATAATATCTCCGTTGCCCATTTCCTAATCAATCCTTAAACAATAATATCTCACATTAAGCAAAGTTAGAAACATCATGAGAAGCGCCAAGAGGATATCAACTTTCAAATAACCATCACTGGATATGGGTGGCAATAGGCCAGCCCAGGCCCGGCTCTGGCCTGATCAAAAAGACCTTGGCCCATGCACGGCCCTAACCCTATCGAGGCTAGGCCAAATAAAACTGCAATAATAATAATAATAATAAAAATAAAAAGAGGGACAGGGTTAGGCAATAATAAAAATAAAAGAGGGATGGGGTTAGGCCCAACTGGGCCGGCCTTGGCCTAGGCCTGCCCCGCTTCTACCCTTAGGTCATGCTTGGCCATCCAGTTGGGGGTGGCAACGGGTCGGGTACATGTCGGGCTCGATACCCGGACCTTGACCTGAATAATATTCGGGGATCCACCATCTAGGTTTTGGACCTGATCTGACCCATTGAGCCCAAAAATTGGACCCATACCTGTACTCGTTAAGTCCAAGATATATCCGGTTGGGTCCCGGGTTTGGTGGGGTCCATTACCACCTTCACTATGAGGTTTTTTTTTTTACCATCAAATACCTACATTGTTGACAACAATGTCACAATCATCCGCCATTAGATTTCAAGCCGTCTGAATTGTCGTTTAATAGCTAAAGATGACTACGAGGTTTTATTGTATACAATTTTTAATACATTCAAACGAATAGGGCTTAAAGTATATTATCTCCAACAGTTTACGGGAACGAATTGGGTCTAACCGGACCCGGCCGACCGAACCCAAATAATATTCGGATCCAAATTTTAGACCCAACCTGAGCTGCGGGGTCCAAATAGTGGATCCATACCCAGACCCGTGTCGGTATACCTGGAAGGTCTAGGGTCGGGTTCAGGTCCCCTACATCCAGTCCATTACCACCCTTAATTTTGGAGAATTTAGACACAAAATGAGAGAGAAAGAGTGAGAGAAAGAGAGAGCAAATGGATGCCAACCTATTTCAATAATACAAGAAATACTAGTACCGTTGGTTGAAAGCCTTAAAAGAAGTATCTATGTTGGGTGGCTTTGCTTTTTTCAGAAAAGCATATTATTGGACCCATTGAATCCCCATTAATCGGTCCACACAGCGAAAATGTATGATGATCCATTGTACCCTCTATTCTGTATCTCTATAAGCAAAAACGTGTGCATTCCTATAGTTTTTACTAGGTTGTACCGAATATTTGCGGTAGAAGGAAGCGTTTTGTTGCACCCCTCTAGTTGCTGTTGTGCAAATCTTGACATCTCAATCGCCCAATTGTATTGTATTGTGTGAGTAGATAAGTTCCGCTTTGAGTGGTTAAGAACCTGTGTTCTTAGTGATGACGGACCTATGGCTCATCTCCATCACAGCACCACCCAAATGGTGACCACCATATCGATTCTTCGTAGCATAAAATGAGGATATGACCATTTGAGGGTAAAAGCAAATACAAAATCTTTATTAGTAAAAAAGTAATCTCACAAAAAAAAATATTTTATCTCTCTAAAAGATGGATTACCAGGACTCTTACCCTCGAGGATTCATGTAAAAATCCAGACAACAATTGTTATGTTTGAGGAGCGTGTTAATTTCATTCTTGAAACATGTTAGAGATTACAAGGTGTAGATGTAAGAGGTCTCACCTAATGGTAGAAAGCCAAATTAAAGGGAAAATTTTAGATACCCCCATTTGTACTTTCTAAGCATCTCCCCATTTTTTATCATTTTTTTTTTGGAAAAAGTTTATATAAAGCCGATGTTCTAATCAATCAAATTTGAGCCTATCTAAAAAATTTCACTAAAAGAGGTTGTTTTGATGTTCAAATATCTTCAAGTCGATCATCTTGACATCAAGAAGCATGGACACAAGAAAAAAATGGATTCAAGTTTTGGAAATAGTGTATTTTGTAACTCATTTTTGGACCGTTAATTTTTAAGATTTTCAAGTTTTCATAGATATGTCGATCTACACTATTTTTGAAACTTTAAACTTTATAAATAAATATAAAAATATATTTTAAGGCTGTTACAAATATTTTCAATATTGAAACCACATTTCTCGATATCATTTGAAAATAGGCTCTAATTGATTGTTTAGAGCCTAAGCTCTATACAAACGGCATATTTTTTTTTTGATACGGCACTACTAATCTCAATATTATTATTATTATTTTTTTGCAGCCACCCCAAGTACAACTTCTGACTTCCTTTAGACTAAAACACATCTTTCGCAATGTTTTCCACTTTCTCTCTCGAAACTGGTCAGGCCCCGACACTTACACAGAGGTAGTTTGATACATTTTTTGTGTCAGTCCAGCTCCATATTCAACTTGTGCCAGTTCGACACATTCTTGTGTCCGACCTTCACAACTTGGACAAAGCTGGTCACATTTTTTATGTTCCAAAAATTAATTTTTTTACTTGGTGGGTATAAAGAAAAATAATATTGATGCTAATAGTATGATATCAAAAGTGTCCGGAGACGATTTCTAAAAAAATACAAATCGAGAGGTATCCATAATTTTTCTAAAAATTGAAAAAGACACATACATCGTCTCGTATACTGTTTCAGTTCAGCCCAATTATTCCCCTCAAACTCAATGGGCAGCATTGAAAACATGTTGGACATATCCCCCTCAATTGAAAATTTTTATTCTTGGTACTTCCATGGTCATAATAGTTGCTATTTAACTGTATTATTGTAAGATTTGCCTCTCATATTATTGTGATTTACCTACAATTAAGTTTCCTATGTTGGCGACAAGATAGCACGACATCTGAATTTTTCTTGAATATCTCACAACATTACTATTTGGATGAAGCTTTTTATGCTTCTCCTATAACATAAAACCTATATGTTTCTCCTTATCCAACTATCGATTTTGAATGGACGACTAAGATGGCTCCAATCACGATGTCACATCTTTGCACTGTTTTATTTTTTATGTTTTTTACAAATTAATTTGACATCAAAGTTTAGTTGTCCAACCCTCTCTTAAAGTCGCACAGGTAAAAAATATAAAACAAATATTCTCAATAAAATAAAATAAGCAAAATACCCATGAAAAATTCAATGGGTATTTTGATCATTATATTTTATCAAAAATTTGTTTTAATATTTTTTTAAATGCACTCCAATAAGATGATGGCATGTACCAAATTTCATATTCAGATAATTTGTATAAAAAAGTAAAAAATAAAACACTATGAGGCTTTAGATCTAGATCAAATGGTTAATGGCTCACTTGATCTAAATTGGACTGCTGGATAGGGGGGAAGCATATAAGTTTTATATTGTAGAGGAAGTATAGAAACATTTCCCTACTATTACTATGAATCCCTTGAGTGGAACTCAACGATCTATATTTTGTTATTTACCATTAGAAAAAAGGTGTGGTTTCTATAAGGTTGCAACTTTAAACAATCTAAATTAAGGGGCACTTCCAAATTTTATCATAACATGTAATATTGGTGTAAAAAATGCTTAGGATTATCTTAAAATCTATTTTTATCTCTAATTATAAAATTTTAAATTTAAAAAATTGTTAAAATCAAGTAGATCTATAATCATATGAAAATCTTGCAAGATGCACTATTTCTAAGACTCAAAATTTTTTTTTTTCATATTTATACATCTCAATGTTGATATGATCAATTAAAGAGTTTTTCATCCGATGGATTTTTGAGGTACATCTTTAATTCTACATTTTAAAGTTGCCACCTTATATAAATTTTTTCTTACAAAAAAAAGTTCCTATATTTTCTTAGAAAATAAAATATAGCTATAATTTCTTGCTTTAAGTTGATAAAGAATCGCGGGAATGATGATGATGATAAATCCCCCCAATAATAAAGCACAACATGTAATAAACCTTCTATCATTTGGACAACTTTATAAGTCATCATCTAAAAATAGTAAATTCAAATTTCCATCCAAGTAAATACTGAGGACACTAATTAATGGGCCATCATGAGGATTTATTGTCATTTAGCCCACCTTCATGAGGATTTATTGTCATTTAGCCCACCTTCATCGGATCTAGATGTAAATTTGCATCTTTTCAGACTCTATTATGTCAAAAGTAAGAAGCTGCACAGCAGATGCAAAACATGGGCCCTAGCAATTGTCCTTGCATTGTTGGTTAGCATCATCAAGCAATTAAGTGTCGTATGAATTGGGACACAAGTGTGGCACCCCAAGTTGAAGATTGACTATAATGTATTTCTTTCAAATATCTGGTTTCAATGAAGGGTGAGGTTTGTATAAGGTGTCAACCTTATAGTGTTGAAGTAAGGTGCTCCTCAAAACTATACCGAAAATAAAATTTTAGCGCAACAAAGCCTTGCAATGATATGGAAATCTATTTTTGACCCTAATTATAAAATTTGAAGTTTTAGAAATGGTGACGATCAAGTAGATCTATAAATACCTAAAAAATCTTAAAATTGACGATCTAAATAATGTGTTAACAAAATGAACTATTTTTAAGACTAAAAATCCATTTTTTTTTATGTCTATGAATCACGAAGTCGAGATGATCAATTTGAGAGTTTTTCAGCTAAATAAAACCTTCTCTAGTGGGTTTTTTATGGGCATCTTACTCATACAGTATAAGGTTGACACCTTATATTGTATTATATCAATGAATTATATCATTGGCAAATGGCTACTAATTATGCTAAACATGCTCAGTCCCTTTTCGAGTATGGTGTAGGTCATGTTATCTTTAGGCCCATTCATTTGGTGCATTCCTTTGTTCGTTCAGTTACACGAGAAGATATTTTGCATGGTTAACACAATATGCTCTATTTATCAATTTGTTTTGGTATCCATCCCACAAGGAGGAGGACCCCAACGTTGGG